TCCTGCCATCCTCAGGGTACTGCCTGGCTCCCTCCAGGTATCACGTCCTTACGCAGAGAGATCCAGTGGGAGAGAAGGGATGATTGTTTCATTGTGTCCCATTTAAGAGACGAGAAACTTTCTCCAGAAGCACCTTCAGCACGTTTCTCTCTCAGCATTGAGCCTTAATCCCATCACCAAACCTAATTACTGTGATTCCCTAGCTTACTTAGGATTCTTCTTTTAAGAGGTAAATAGGGCCAGAATTTAGTGAAGAAAAAACCAGAAGGGAAGAATGGGGTCTTTTTATTTCTTTATTTTGGGCCTTGCTGGGTCTTCGTTGCTTTGCATGGGCTTTTTCTAGTTGCGGCAAGTGGGAGGCTCCTCTTATTTTCATTTTTTAAATATTTACTTTTATTTGGCTGCACTGGGTCTTAGTTGCAGTATGTGGGATCTAGTTCCCTGACCAGGGGTTGAACCTGGGCCCCCTGCACTGGGAGTGCAGAATATTAGCCACTGGCCCACCAGAGAAGTCCTGGGGTTTCTCTTACAGCAGACCCCAGGCTCTAGGCGGGTGCAGGCTTCAGGAGTTGCAGCACTTGGGTTCAATAGTTGTGGCGCATGGGCTTAATTGCTCTGGGGCATGGGGGATCTTGCCAGACCAGGGATCCAACCCGAGTCCCCTGCGTTGGCAGGCGTATTATGCACTGAGCCACCAGGGAAGTCCAAGGTCTTTCTTTAAAAAAGTAATTAATTTTGGCTGCGCTGGGTCTTCCTTGCTGCACACAGGCTTTCTCTAGCTGTATCGGACAGCGTTTGCTCTTCCTTGCAGTGCACAGGCTTCTCGTGGTGGTGGCTTCTTCTGTTGCAGAGCTCGGGCTGCAGAGAGTGCGGGCTTCCGTAGTTGCAGCTCGCAGGCCCTCGAGTGCAGGTCAGCACCTGTGGTGCAGGGGCACAGTTGCTCCAAGGCATGTGGAATTTTCCTGGACCAGGGATCAAACCCACGTCCTCAGCATTAGCAGGCAGATTCCTAGCCACTGTCCCACCCGACAAGTCCCAAATGGGGTCTTGAAGCCAGCAATGGTATAGAAAACAGAAAGAAGGATGAGGGCTGTGTAGGAAATCTGTAGTGTCTTCTTCACCTCCAATACAATGACCACATTTTGGGGATTTTAAAAAATTTATTTATTTTTAATTGAAGGATAATTGCTTTACAATATTGTTTTGGTTTCTACCAAACGTCAACATGAATCAGCCATAGGTTTACAAACCCATGTTCCTTCCCACTTGAACATCCCTCCCACCTCCCTTCCCATCCCACCTGTTTTAGGGATTTTTACTGTCTCCTGAAGCATGTGCTTCCATCTCCAGAACCACCTGTTCCGGTTACCTTTTGAGCTTCAGAGAGCAATTTGTCATCATTATGTGTCCCTCAGATTCCTATGCTGAAGTCCTCAGCCTCAGTATCTCAGAATGTGACCTGATTTGGAAATAAAGCCTTAATAGAGGTAATCGAGTTACACTGAGGTCATTAGAGTGGGTCCCCATCCAGTACGACTGATGTCCTGTTGAAAAGGGGACATTGGGACACAGAGCTATGCAGGGGGCCGGAAGAGCCGGAGTGAGCAGACGGCCATCTGTAGGCCAAGGAGAGATGGCTGGAGCAGACCCTCGCGCACAGCCTCAGGAGGGCTTGTGCTGCTGACGTCTCGGTTCAGACCCTCGTTCCCAGAACTCCTACAAGATAAGACATTTCTGTTGTATCAGCGCCCAATTTGCTAGTAGCAGCATCCCTCCAAACAAGCATAGCTGGCGTCTCGCATGGCCAGCGGGTGGACTGTGCTCAGCAGGGTGGCTCTGCTGAGAATCGCTCAGATAGTGGCTTGGGCTGCAGTTGTCTGGGGTGGTTTCAACCAGGGCTCTCACAGAGAGCTTGGCTGGGGCTCAGTGGAGTCTCCTGTGTGCCTCTGCGTGGGACCTGGGCTTCTCATGGCACCATCACTTAACGCCAAGAGTGATATCCCAAGAAGCAGGAGGTGGCAGTTGCCAGGCCAGCTCAAGCTTTTGCCCACAACTGGCACAGTGTCCCTTCCCACATTGCAATAGTGGACGCAATCCCACTGCCAACCCAGGCTCTAGGGGTAGAGAAGAAACAGGTGTGAACAGTGCAGAAGAACACAGAACGGGAGATGCCATTGAGCTTGCATGCGTGCGTTTTAAGTTGCTTCAGTCGTGTCCAACTCTTTGCAACCGCGTGGACTATAACCCGCCAGGTTCCTCTGTCCATGGGATTCTCCAGGAAGAATACTGCAGTGGGTTTCCATGCCCTCTTCCAGGGACAACTGAGCTTATCTACAGAAAATATCATCTGCCACCTGTTCAAGTCACAGCTGCAGCCTCAATCTTTGACTCTTTGAGGCTCCCCCATTTATTCTTCCAATCTTCTCTGCACTACAGTCAGAATTATATATATATATAACATATATATATATGTTGTTTTGTTGTTGTTGTTGTTGTTGGCTGTACCTTGCAGTATGCAGGATCTTAGTTCTCTGACCAGGGATCGAACCTTGGCCCTCAATAGTGAAAGTGCAGAGTTCTAACCACTGGACAACCAGGGAATTCCAAATTAAAAAAAAAGAACAAACCTAAAAAAACCCCCTGATATTGTGGATCCTCCACCATAATCTGGGAGTGTTTCAAACATGCTCCTATATTTGGCTTTCCTTCCAAGTGTTTTTTGATCCTCTTTTTGAACATGACAGGAAGGGAGCTGGGTGATGAAGACTAATGGGAACTCCAGCATGTTTCCCAAACCCTTTGCCTCACACCCCTGCTCAAAGCTGCTACTGTTCCATCATTAATTAAAGGCTGTGGAGCAAAGGCTCATGGGCCATTGTCTGTCACTGCTGCCGTGGTTTAACATTTATTTGAGTGTTTATAATGGGGCTGACACTTTCCAGGACATTCACTGACAGATCTTGGCTTTGTTCTTATTTACAGCAGTGGGGGTAAACCCATAGCGTCAGCCAATCCTAAATTATTTTTTTGTTGGCTTTGAAAGTGTTCTTCATAAATGCATCAAAATTTGAGTTGGTGTAAAGCTTGGGGACATCATGATATTTCAAACAAAATAGTGAACTCATTCCGTGGAGGGCTGATAGAGGAGGGCTCTGGGGACTGCGGATTTTCCCCCAGTTTAGCTCTTTGCTCTAGGTACCCCTCTGCTCCCCCTCCGGGGAACGCTGTTGCTCTCCACACCCACGCCAGGCACTGCTCCGTCTCTTCAGGTTTTCGTGGGACTGAAGAAAGTAATTTTCTCCTCCTTGCCTTCCTCTGGGCTATTGCTATGATATAAGAATATGAGCTCAGTGGAGATTACGACACTTTAGCGTGGCCTTCCTTACTTTTATCAGATAAGTATTCTTTGCTATAATATCTATTCGGTTTTCAGAAAATTGATGGGTAATACTGTTAAACTGGCATAGTAAAAAAGTTTTCCCCAAGTTCTGAGTTATAAACCAGCCTTGGTAACTGGAATGGGAGGAGAGGAGGCTGGAGACTTTCCGTTTTTACTTTGTACCCTGACAACTGCCTCAGTTTTTATGCAGTAAGCATGCCTTACTTTTGTAATCAAGACTTTTCGACTAAAAAAGAAAAATTCCCCCATTGTTGAGTATTATTCTAGAAAAAAGATAATCTTAACTTCAAAGTGTTACCTATAATACTATACTGTTATGGTTGAGACTGTTTTGAAATAAAAACTATTCTTAATGATATTTTATAATCAAGAGTCAGATTTTAAAACAAGTGTAGATCCTAAATAAAGCAGAACCTTTTTTTTTTTTTAAATTTTGGCTGCATGGCATACTTTGCAGGATCTTAGTTCCTGGGCCAGGGATTGAACCTGAGCCTTTGGCAATGAAAGTTCAGGGTCCCAACCACTGGACCACCAGGGAGTTTCCCAGAACCTCTTTCTTTCTGGATAGGATAATACTTTCTAGATACTACTGCTATGGATTAGAAGACAATATTTTAAAATATTAACTGGGATCTCCTCCATAGTTTATTGTACCCCTTGTCTTTCTCTCAATTAGGGGAATATCTATCAATAGGTTTGCAGTAGTCTAAAGGAGAAAGTCCTCAGGATTATCTCAAAAGCTCCAGAAAAAGCATGTGAAAAAATTTAACATCCATTTGTGAATTTAAAAAATATTAAAATATTAGGAATAGGAAAAAACTTCCTTAACCTGGTACCAAAAATCTGTAGCAGATATCCTAGGTGATAGATAATTTCTACTTTTTTTTTTTTTTGGCTGCACTGCACAGTTTATAGGATCTTAGTTCCCTGACCAGGGATTGAACCTGGGCCCCCAGCAGTGAAAGCACAGAGTCCTAACTACTGGACTGCCAGGGAATTCTCTAGGCGTATTCCTTCAAGGGAACACGACAAGGATCCAAGCTGTCCATCATCTCCAGCACTGGACATAGTATTGGAGACTCTGGCCAACACAGGAAAAGTGGAGCTGGACAAAAGAGTTTATAAGAAGAGAAAGAGGACTGTCAGGATTGTCACTATTTGAGATGATGCAATCATCTATTAAAAAGCCAGCAAAATCAACAAGCTATTGGAACTAACGAGAGATTCAGCAATGATGCCAGGTTCAAGATTAACTTATGAAAAAAATTAGTGTCTCTAGCAATCTAGGTCCATCCGGGAGACAGAAACCACACAATAACTTCAGAGGGGAAAGTTTCGCGTAAAGGATTATTAAGGATAGGTAAGTAAATTGTCAAATGGGAAGAAAGTTCTAGAAGAAGCCTGAAAGCAGCAGTCCCCAACCTTTTTTGGCATCAAGGACTGATTTTGTGGAAGACAATTTTCCCAGGCACCAGGGGTGGTGGGGGTGGTTTCAGAATGATTCAGGCACGTTCCATTTATTTTGCACTTCAGTGCTGCTGCTGATCTGAGAGGAGGTACCAGTTCGCAGCCCAGAGGTGGGGGACCCTGCCCCAAAGGATCAACTTGGAAGGGGGCCTTGGACCTCGTTGAAGAAGGTGTGGTCGTAACCCACTGGATGGTCGAGAAGTTCTGGGAGCGCCTGGGCCAGGTGTAGCCGCAGCCTCCAGGCAAGAAGAGACCCTGGGGGGCACGGCCGCCACTGCGAGAGGCTGAGTGCACAGGTGGGCGCAGAAGCGGGGCACTGGCGGGGGTCTGGGGGCGCTGCTGCAAGCATGAAGCCCAGAGCGCCTGGTGTCATGTCAGGAGACCTCTGGGAAGCCATCTCCAGGATGCAGGCAAGTGGGGCTGGCGTTCCGGTGTCCAGAGAGCCTGTTGTGAGCACTGCTGTACCTAGGGGCTGGGGAATTCGGGGGTCTCTCTCTGGAACCTGAGGATGTAGAGAGCTGGGAGTCCAGAGAAGCCAAGACAGAGTTTCGACAGAGTGCTGGGGGCGGGTGTGTGTGTGTATGCGGCGGGGGGAACCGCCCGCAGATCCAGATTTTCAGGAATCTGCAGAGTCCCTCCCTGACTGGAGCACTGCCCGAGGCCGAGGGGAGGACTCCCTGAAAGGAGCAGGCAGAGGAATCCTGGCCCAGGAATAGGCGATGTTCCCCTCAGCCTTGGAGAAAAACCTCGTGCCCGCGGGGCATCAGATAGAGGAGCCAGAGACTGCCTCAGAAGCAGAGAAAAATCTGCCCGTGGCTACGGGCTGCTCTGGTCCTATCTGATAAAGCCCTGGGGAGGATCAAACCATTCCCCAGTAACTGACCTGTGTCCCAGAGCAAAGATAAGCATACTTAAAATAAAAAAGAATATCCAGCACCAAGAAGGTAAACTCCAAAATGTTTAGCCTGTAATAAAGAATTACCAGGCATACAAAGAACAGGATAAAATGGCCAGGAGTGAGGGAAAATCACCGACCGGTTCAAAACAGAAGCCAGTAGACAAGCAGGTTAAAACAGCTACTGCGACAGAATTCTATATGCACGAGAAGGCTGAGGACAACAAAAGCATTGTTAGGAGAGGCAGAAAAGAAGTTTAAAAAGACTCAGATCAAAGGTGGGGAGATGAAAGCTACAACATCTGTGATGAAAAACACGCTGGAAGGAATAAACAGCGTAGACACGACCAGAGGAAAGATGAGTGAACTTGAAGACAAGAGAAACAATCCAAATAAGACACAAAGAGTAAGGAGTCTTTAAGATATTAACAGAACATCCATAACATGGACAACTTCAAGTGGCCTAACACACCTGGAAGTGGAATTCCCAAGAGGGAAGAGGGGAACAACAAAAAATTTGAAGAAATAATGGCCCCCAATTTTCTGAATTTGATGAAAACTCCAATCCCACAGATCTAAGAAGCACAACGAACCCCAAGCCAAAGAAACAAAAAAGTTCACACGCATCTGGGCGCTGCTGAGGAACAGAGCGTATGTGCGTGCTCAGCCGTGTCCGACTCTTTGCGACACCGTGGACTCTAGCCCGCCAGGCTCCTCTGTCCATGGACTTCTCCAGGCAAGAACGCTGAAGTGGGTTGCCATGCCCTCCTGCAGGGATCGAACCTGCGCGTCCTGTGTCTCTGGCACTGGCAGTAGGATTCTTTACCACCGAGCCGGCTGGGAAGCCTGAAGCACTGAGGCCCCTGATGATAAAGATGCATACAACTAGTGAAAAAGATGGAGTTCCCCGGTGGTCCAGTGACTGGGACTCGGAGCTCCCAATGTGGCGGGTCCAGGTTTGATCCCTGGTCAGGGAACTGGATACCACATGCCACAACTAAGACCCAGAACAGTGCTACTATCTACCGCACCCCACACCCCAAAAAAAAACCTAGCATAAAAGAGAAATTTGAAAAACTGTGAGAGACAATGACATGGTATGTCAAAAGGTACAAACGTAAGAATGACAGCTGACTTCTTGTCAGAATTTCATGGTATGTTTAAGATTAGGAGAAACGCATACAGTGATGATAATAAAGGTCAGTGTTCTACAACTCTCTTTGTATAGCACCGCAGTGGCATTTTACAGATATAATCTAAATGAGTTCTTTCCAGTATCTGCATTCCTATCCTTTTTCTTATTTTCAAAACAACTTTTTGTTGAAGTATAGTTGATTTACAAAACTGTGTTAGTTTCAGTTGTATAGCCGTGTTCAGTTACACATATTTACATATATCTATTCTTTTTCAGATTCTTTTCCATTACAGGTTATTACAAGACGTTGATTAAACTTCTGTGTGCTATACAGTAGGGCCTTGTTGTTTATCTATTTTATATATGGTAGTGTGTAGGAAAAACATAAAAGAAACTAAAAAAGACTCAAATCCAAACTCCTAATTCATCCTTCCTACCCCACCCCACCCCTTTCTTTTTTAGCAACAGTATCCCTGACTTTTTGCTGGACACGAGGTTGTGAAACTACATTGCTTAGCTCCTCCTTTCTTTTTTTAAAGCCACACCACATGGCTTGCTGGGTCTTAGTCCCCGACCGGGGATTGAACCCACACCCTGAGCAGTGAAAGCACGGAGTCCTAACACCAGGAAATTCCCATCTCGGCTCCTCTTACAGCTAGTCTATGTAGCTTCTGGAAACTCCCTTCCTTCTAACCAGCTTGCAGAGGAGAAGGCAGGAGCTGAAGCAGCCAGCTTGGACACACGAGGCCAACTTGGCGATGCTCAGCAGAGAAACTGGTAGAAGGAGTCCATGTCCCAAACGCCACACCTGCCTTAGCCGTCTCCCTGGCGTTCTACCTGAGAGAGAAGTGAACCTCTATCTACTGTTGGGGGTGCTTACTCCCTTGCAGCTGACCATCCCCCTCCCCGCTACAAGCAGGTGTCTTTATCTCTACTTTCCTGACACATTCATCAAGTTCCTAATCTGTGGGAAAGCTCAGCCTGTCTCTAAAACCCTTGATATTTTTCAGTAAATTACCCTTCTCACCATGAATGTTTAGAAAAACGGCAGCTGTCCTATTACAGGATTGGCAAAGGAGACCAAATCAAAATAAAATCGCCACTAGGCACTTCAACTGACACTCTTGGATAAATAAATACTGGGAACATCTAAAGACTTAAAGCTTTTAAAGGGAATGTTTACAGTGGAAGAGTGACATAAACCCAATTTTTAAAAAATCAGAAGACATAGAGAAACACACCCTAAGGGACCAACGTTTAAATTTCCAGAAGTGTTCTTGTCCCTTGTGACCTGGTGTTTCACATACACACCGAGTTTGTGACGGGGTTAGGGGGAAAAAAACACCTCTACGGTTCACAACTCTGGTGTTACAATGAAGTCAGAAATCCTACTCTAATAGTGCATTTGCTGTTACCATTTCTCATAAGAGCTAAAGCTGGGTGACGGTCAGGCCAAGGGGCAGCGTGCAGCTGAGCCTCATCCTTTGCACCAGCTCTGACGGCATTTACTGTCCACAGTGTCTCACTTGGAGCCCAGTGTTCTTTTAAAGGGCTCCTGGGTGGTGGGTCTCTCCAGATGCAGGTGAAGAGACAGCCCCGTCCCCACTTCCCCTGTGGACATCCAGTAGGGCTTCAGTGCTTGGCTGCTTTGACAGAACGTGGTGGTTTAACCTGTCAGAATCAATGAGAAAACTCATCTCCGTGATGGATGTCATCTTTTGTCACTGGGGGGGCGTCCGTATCAGTGGGAGGGGGCTGTATGAGGCCCCGGGGGGACCCTGAATAGACATGGCCCCTTCCCTTTCGGGACTTCCCACGTAGCTCAGTCGGTAAAAGCATCTGCCTGCAATGTGGGAGGCCTGGGTTCAATTCCTGGGCCTGGAAGATGCCCTGGAGAAGGACATGGCAACCCACTCCAGCACTCTTGCCTGGAGAACCCCATGGACAGTGGAGCCTCGCAGTCTACAGTTCATGGGATTGCAAGAGTTGGACACAACTTAGCGCTCTTTCTTCCTTTCTTTCTAACCTTCCCAGGCCAGGACAGGAAAAAGGCCTGTGAGACATATGACTCCACGCAGAACACACGGAGCTGAGTAATTATTATGACAGCTAACTTTCATCGTGCGGTACTGTGTGCAGGGACGGATCTCAGCAGGACTGGCCAGGGTCCAGCAGAGAGTGAAACCATGGAGCCCCTTGCTCGGCCAGCAGGGAAAGTGCGTGACAGGCAGTGACGCCCAGAACATGGTTTCTTTCGTGCGTGGTCAGCCTGTCCTGATGATTTCCGTTTTCTATCTGAGATCATTCTCCTGAGGCGGGGTAGACCCTCCAGTGCCCTGGGGCCCTGTCCTGACTGTTAGCGTCCACGTCCACTTCTCCCAGCAGCTGAACCCCTCTCCGACCAGCTGCCAAACCAGCCCTGGCTGCGGACGGGGCAGCTACACCCAATCCCTGGCAGACAGGTGACCCCCCAGGGCTTTGCAGCCTTGGCGCCCGGACACGCTGGGCGCCTGGGTCAGGAGTGGGCCCTGGTCCCAGACACGGTGGGGCACACACCCCAGCTGCTGGGGGGCACTGGGGCAGGGGCTTGGGAACCTTCCAGAGGAAGACGGGTCGGGTGGGTCCACCTGGGAAGGCAGCCCTGGCCTTGTTCCTGTCCCACGAGACTTCACTGACAAAACAAAAATTCCAACCACGCGGGAATTCCCTGGCGGTCCGGTGGTTAGGACTTTGAGCTTTCGATGCCAAGGGTCTGGGTTCAGGGATTGAACATGCAGCATGGCCACAAAAAGGTTTTTTTTTTTAATAAAAAAGAAATTCCAAAGATGAAATTACTAAGAATTTCAAAAACATGACCCAGAGCATTCACCCCGAGTGTGGAGCCAGGGGCTCGTGGCACTGCCTTCGCTGTGCGCCCCTGCAGCCAGCCTTTTGTGGGGTTACTTCTCTAATCTTCACAGTGAGGCTGTGAAGTCAGGTGTTACTATTGTCTCCATTTTACAGATAAGGAAATTGAGGCAGATGGGGAGTAAGAAGCCTGCCCCAGGGGGCAGAGTGGGGTCCAACCCAGGCCGGACTCTGAACCTACATCCCTATCATCCTTCATTTAGCTGTTCTTAAAAGTGTGTGCGCTGACCCTCTTGAGTCTCCCTGCCCCCCCACTCCCCCCCACCCCCTCCCCTGTCCAATCCCACCCCTTTAGGTTATTACAGAGCCTAGTTTGAGTTTCCTGAGATTCAAATGGGAAGGGACATATAAACACCTGTGGTTTGTTCAAGCATTTTGACAGAAATCAAACCAATACCGTAAAGCAATCATCAACCAATTAAAAATAAATATTAAAAAAAAAAAGTATGTGCACGAGAGATAGTTCGGAAAGTGAAAGTCGCTCGGTGCTGTCCGACTCTTTGCGACTACACGGACTATATACAGTCCGTGGGATTCTCCAGGCCAGAAGACTGGAGTGGGTAGCCTTTCCCTTCTCCAGGGGGTCTTCCCAACCCAGGGGTCGAACCCAGGTCTCCTGCATTGCAGGCACATTCTTTACCAGCTGAGCCACCAGGGGAGACCAGAAATTCAGAACAGGCAGCCAAAACATTTAGGCTTCATTCTAGTCCAGCTGGCACTCTGCCCCCACTGTAGTTTCTTTGTTTCTTTTTCTCCCTGCCTAAAACAACTAAAAAAAATTTTCACCAGGTCCTTCCCTGGTGGTGCGGTGGTTGAGAATTCACCTTCCAATGCAGCGGCAGAGGTTCTGATCCCTGGTCGGGGGACGGCGGTCCCACGTGCTACAGAGCTACTGAGCCGGCGCTTCAACTGCTGACCCCACGCCCCGACTGGAGAGTCCGTGGACGACCACGAAAGATCCCACGTGACAACTCAGACCTGACACAGTCAAGGAAATAAATAAAACTGTTTTTCAATGAAGCCGAAACGGGAACGTAAAAACCACGTGAGGTGTCAGTTTAGGAGGCCCAGGGCTTCTGTCCGGCCCATGGGGTTAACTGAAACCCGACGGGCTGGTTTGGCACCTTCCCCCGCTTCTGCCTTCCGTAATTAGCTTGGAAGCACACTGGCTTCCTTCTGCGGTTCGTAGCCTGGCACAAGGTGAAGATCCTGGTCACCTGTGCGAAAGGAGGGCTTTGTGGGCAGGTGCGAGAGCCAGCCAGGAATCTTCCAGAGCTTTACGGCACCTCCCTCCAGTGCCCACCCCTCCTCGCTTGCTTCTAGCTGATTTCACCCAAAGCGGGTTGGCTCTTTGAAAATACAGCCTCAAAAGGAATGCCGACGCCCCTGGGGCCCATATGAGAGGGGTCACTGCAGTTATCAGTTAGAAGCGAGTTCAGAGCGTTGTCTCAGTGACGTAGACGTAACCTGTGATCTGCTGATCATTTTAAATAAATAGCTCTCTGGAATGCTTTCTTTTCTTTTTTCTTTTTTGCCACCCCACGAGGCTTGTGGCATCTTAGTTCACTGACCAGGGGTGGAACCCAGGCCCTCAGGCAGTGAAAGTCCTGATGACTGGATTGCGAAGGAACTTCCTGGAATGCGTTTTTTTTTTTTCTTTCTGATTTGTACTCTTTGATGATTTCTTTCTTCTTTTTTTAAAGGCTTTCTTTGCTCTTTTTACTTTAAAACTTTTGTTTATCTATTTTCGGCTGTGCTGGGTCTTTATATCTGCGCAGGCTTTCCCTGATTGTGGCGAGTGAGGACTACTCTGGTTGTGGTGCGTGGATTTCTCCTTGCGGTGGCTTCTCTTGTTTCAGAGCACAGGCTCTGGGGTGCTCCGGCTTCAGGAGTTGTGGCTCTAGGGCTTTGGAACACAGCCTCAGAAGCTGTGGTGCACAGGCTTAGCTGCTCTGCGGCCTGTGGGATCTTCCTGGACCAGGGGTCAAATCCGTGTCCGCTGCATTGGCACTTGGGATTCTTATCCACTGAGCCAGCAGGGGAGCCCTCTGTGATGATGACTCAATGGACATGAGTTTGGGTGAACTCTGGGAGTTGGTGATGGACGGGGAGGCCTGGCGTGCTGCGGTCCATGGGGTCACAGAGAATCGGACAACTGAGAGACTGAACAACAAGATTTCAACACAGAGGAGTTTGCTGCAGGTGCCCAGCCAAGACCCAGACTTCAGACAGGAGAGACACTGAAGTTGTCCAGCTGCGATCACACCGGATGAGCTTGGCTTGGAGATGGCTGAGGTTGGCCACTGCAAGGGCCACAGTCTTAAGGAAGGGAAGACCTTGAGAACAGGAGGCAGTCATCACTGGATGCCTAACTGTGATTTGAAAGGGGTGGAGCAGGTCCCAGGGCAAGGATGTCACCTGGGGATCTCCCGGCTTGAGCAGAGGCAGTCACTGTGGGGAGGATGGTAACAAGAATTAAGTGACAGATGATTTAACTGTAGAAAAAGTGTAACAATGAAAGAAGGCAAGAGCCCCTCCTTTGTATTAAAATTTGACTGTTTACTGAATTTCTCTCAAGTTTCCTTCCCATTGCCCCTCCCCAACATCATCACCAGTCATCCTTCCAGGATTTATTGTTTATCCTCAGAGTACTGCCTTCGGTTCACTCTCTGGCCTTACTGACTCTTGGAAGGAATTCCCTTTAGGGTGATGTCTCTACCAAACATCTCTTTATAGAGTTTGGGAGTGGAAGGGCCCTCTTTGACTGGGTCTCTTCTATATGCCTTTGGATAGACTTTTTATGGGCGTGTATCTTCCCGTGGGGAGTAACATGTGTGGCTGATTTCATCCCTTTTTCTAATTTGGCCAGTGTGGAGGGACAGGGCAAGGTTCTAGTAACATCATGATTCTAGTAACATTAGAAATGAAGAGATAGGAAAAGTATGAAACTATTCAAAAGGAAAATGTGCATAAATAAGGACTCCGAGGTGGCACGAGTGGTAAAGAACCCACCTGCCAATGTAGGAAACCTAAGAGACGGTTGGTTTGATCCCTGGATTGGGAAGATCCCCTGGAGGAGGGCAAGGCAGCCCACTCCAGTATTCTTGCCTGGAGAATCCCATGGACAGAAGAGCCTGGTGGGCTACAGTCTATGGGGTCGCACAGAGTTGGACACGACTGAAGCGACTTAGCACACACACACATTCATAAATAAAAACTTCATTAAATAGCACTCACTTATGGGAAATGTGTACAACATTCTTGCTGCTACTTAAAAATAGAATGATGAAGGGTGATTTGGTGGGAGTAATTGTTTTGGGGAAAAAAAATCAATTTAACATCACTTTGCTTTCAATTTCTGCTGCCAAGAAAGCTCATGCTACATCTTCTGATTCAAATGTAAGTGTCTCCAGAAACCTTTGGATCCCGCATTACACAGCCCCATCTGGTTTACCCTCTCCAGATTAGCATTTCCGCTTAATTCACTTATGAATTTTCTGACATTCAATTGATTCCCCCCAACTTGTTATCTAAGATCACAACTGGCATCTTCTAGATTTGGATTCAACTTAGAAAATAATTTTTAGCTATAAAAAAAGCCTTTTTAGTAGTAAGGAGTGTGCAAATAAGTAAGATGTAAATCATAGTGATGCACATGTACATAACTATGTACAAGGATGCTCACTGCAGCATTTGCTTACAATAACAACAATTGGAAACAGATGTCTATGAATCAGCGGGTTTAGTTAGAGCAGTGGTATCTATCAGCCCATCAGGTCCTGATACGGAAGGCTGTTTGTGATATATTAAGTGGAAAAAGCAAGTTGAAAGATCAGTATACAGATAATTCTCTGTATAGGAAAAAAGCTAAACTCTCTACATGTGGGGACACAGAAAGTGGATGGCAAATCACCCCCGGTGGGGATGCTACTAACTCTGGAGTGGGGATAGGGCAAAGGGGAGGAACAGACGGGACAGTCTTTTTTTTTTTTTTTTTTCCTGTAGGCTTTTGTTGTGTTTGAATCACCTACAATAATAATGGGTGGACCATGGCTGACTCATGTTGATGCCTGGCAGAATCCAACACAATTCTGTAAAGCAGTTATCCTTCAATTAAAAAATAAATAAATTATAAAAAAAAGAATGGGTGGATTTATGTTATCTTGAATTAAAAATTTCAAGCCAAAGCAAAAATTCTTGAGTTACCAAGTATATATAATAATAAAAAAAATACAGAGGGTCATCAGGAATTTTGAAGATTTTCTTCATGTCCCTACTTTGAATAACTTCATATCTATACTTAAGGCAAAATAAAAAGGAAAGATATTTAAAACATATATGAGAGAATGCTATCAAAGTTGAAGGCAACCCGTGTATAATTGTGTGTCTAGTAAACATATAGATTACAGCTTTAGGTAGAATTCAAGACAGAGGAAAATACATATTTGTGCGTGTAAAATTTTGTTTTCTTTTTGGAGAGGACATTGTCCTAATGATGATGATGATAAATTGTCATTACTGTGTGGCAAGTAATGTCTTAAATAATTTTTCTTTTACTAGCTAATTTAATCTTAGCAACAATCCAGTCAGAAAGATTCTGTAGTTGCTGCAATTTTACAGATGAGAAAACGAAGGAGAGAGAGTGAAGGAACTTGACCAAGCTCACACAGCTTGTAAGGGGTAAGGTTGAGATTCACACCCGGGTCTACGGCCATACCACCCTGAACGTGCCCAGTCTCGTCTGATCTCGGAAGCTAAGCAGAGTCGGGCCTGGCTAGTACTTGGATGGGAGATTCACACCCAGGCAGGAGGGATCCAGAGTCGAAAGAGCCTAATCATTCCCTTGAAATTGCAAAGTCAAATAAACACCTGCTGGAAGCAACCTAAATATCCATCAACAGATGAATGGGTCAAGAAGATGTGGGAGATACATACAAGGAAATAGAACTCAGCTATTAAGAAGAATGAAATAATGCCATTTGCAGCGACCTGTGTGGACCCAAAGATTATCACACTAGGTGAAACAAGCCAAAGACAAATAGTGTACAATACTGCCTACAAATGGAGTCCAAAAAACAAGATACAAATAAACTTATAAACAAAACAGAAACAGATCCTCCGCAGACCTAGAAAACACACTTACGGTTACCACAGTGGAAACTGAAGGAGGGGTAAATTAGGAGCTTGAGATTAATAGACGTAAATTACTATATATAAAATAGGTAAGTAACAAGAACCTACTGTATATCCCAGGGAACTGTACTCAATATTTTGTAATAATCTATAACGGAAAGGAATCTGAAAAAAAATAGATACTTATGTATGTATAACTGAATCACTTTGCTGTCCGCCTGGAACTAACACAACCTTGTAAATAAAATATACTTCAATTAAAAAAAAATACTTGCACCTAGAGGGTGGAGCGGGCCCAGCACCACCTTTTCCCAGGAGGGCCCGGACACTCCAGGCTGCCCTCGGCAATGCCTCCCCGTGTCTGTAGCCGAGTTTTTCGGTGGAGGCTCATTTCCTGGTGTTTTTTCGTTGCTGCGCAAAAGGGGGAGAGGGGGTCAGTGTGCCTTGAGAAGTTACAGAAGGAGTGGACACCGGAGAAATCGAGGAGCTCTGGGCTGTGGTCATTGAGGACAAGGGATGACAAGAGGGCGGCCATGGCGAGGGACTGTGCTGACGGAGGTGGGGACACTTCTGCCCCCTGCAACGCTGACTTGCTTTTGCCTGTACTATTCCTCACGTGAGATCCAGGAGGGACTGGGACCGTTTGCATTTCCTTTGCCTAACACCATGTCTGGTTCAGAGCAGCTCCTTAGATGTTTCCGGAGGGTGGGGTGAGGGGGTCAGAGTGGACCTCGGGTGGGGCGGGCTCAGGAGGTGGTGACCGCACAGAGGCGGGGCCGGCCCCCGTTCCCTGGTCGTTCTTACCGAGACCCTAATGACTTGTTTATGTGGGTTTTAGCGATACGATTTATCAAATTACAAATTAAACCAAAAAAGAAAAATAGATCTTTATAAAGCATCTGCTTGTAATTCAGGAGACCCAGTTCGATCCCTGGGTCGGGAAGATCCCCTGGAGAAGGAAATGGCAACCCACTCCAGTACTCTTGCCTGGGGAATCCATGGACAAAGGAGCCTGGCCGGCTACAGTCCATGGGGTTGCCAAGAGTCGGACACGACCGAGCGACTTCACTTTCACTTTCTTTCTAACTGATTTCAAATGAACAACAATAAACCCATTACAGAGTTAAGTTAAATTAAGAAAAAAAAAAAAGGTCCTCGCTTCCTCTGCTCCGGATCTTAGTTGTCCTACGTGGGATCTAGTTCCCGGGCCCGAGACTGAACTTGTGTCCCCTGCACTGGGGCTTGGCCACTGGACCACCAGGGACGTCCCTAGTAAGTTAATTTTTATGAAAAGTAATAGCTGTGTTAAACAAAGCAAATTTAGTGACAAGTGACCTTATGTTACATTTTCATAAATCTCTGCAATGCCTGGTTGTTAGGAGACAGCAGAATCCTTGTCCACGTCCCTTGATCTGCCGCAATACCTCCTGCCACACTACCTCTGGAAGGCTCTGCTGCAGACTTGGGAGGGAGTGACGGTGGAAAAGACAGACACCGTCTTGGTATGAGGGTGACGACAGTTTTGGCCTGGGGATGCCCTACAGAGCTCTCTGGACCACCCCTTCCCCAGGGACCCAAGCCACGCACGCTGGATTCAGGAGACACTTCCAAGGCAAGACTGACAAGCCTAGTTTTATCATTATTGCTTATAGTTACTGCATGCTGTTACTCCTCATAGCAACTCTCTGGAGCAGGGACAGTTAGTGCCCCCAGTTCATACATGTCAACACGTTCGGACTCTGCAACCCCATGAACTGTAGCACTCCAGGCTTCCCTGTCCTCCACTATCTCCCAGAGCTTGCTCAAACTCATGTCCATTGAATCAGTGATACCATCCAACCATGTCATCCTGTACCAATTCTATATTTACATATATACATCCATGTATCCTTGTCTTCACAGTGGAACTGGACATTTTCATTTTTAAGCAAGTGACCAAAGCAGCTATTAGTGAATTTTACAGTTCTTGGATGGTGAGGCTATAAGCCTGACTCCAAACAGTGAGCTGCAGACAGGCAAGCACCCTCTATAATCCATTTTTTTTTTTTTTGAGATCTGACTGTGATGTAAATGTACTTTTGAGCCATTTCATTTTTAAAAGCCCATTTGGGAATCTTAAAAATTAATTAAATCTTTCGTCTTCAAAGTTTAATTCTTCCACTTCTGGCATATTATCTACAGCTCTGAGAAAAATGGCCATTCACTTGGGTAATTTGCACCTAAAATAAAGGTGCAGGAAAGTTGAAATTAGAAGCAGCTAGAACAGTAGTTTCCTTGGTGTCTCTGCTTTGGGTTTTGGACCAAAATGCACAGAGCCTTCCTCTGTTTTCCCGGCTTCCTTTTTCAGGCGATGGGCTCACGGCTTGCTTATTTTCACCGTGTAACCTTCCAGGTTCTTCTGTTTCCCAGGCTGCTTTCCTGTCTGCTGCCTGCCGGCTCCGCCTCTGCGCCTCTCTTCCCGTGACGCCGATCGCTCTAGGCACCAACCTGGCCTCCATTGCCCTGAGTCCTGTGCAGCGGGGCGGCCCTTTGCCCAGAGGATGGCCCGTGTGCCGTTCCGGCCCTGAAGCCCACCAGGCGCAGGGCTTGTGTCAGGGGCCGCCCCAGCATTTCCACGCACCATCTTGGCTCAAGCACTCACACCCCCTTGAGGTTGAGGTCACCCCCTTTACAGACGGGAAGGTGAATCTGGGAGCGCTAAGGACCCACAGCCAGCACAGCTGGAAGGCATAAAGGCATTACAGGAATGCCAGGTCTGTTGACTCTTAAGCCTTGTTCTAAATCTTGAACTCTCTTTTACCTGTGTCTTTTAAAATACTGTTTCCTCTGCCCGCTTTTCTTAAGCTTCAAGTGTCTTCTCCAGGAAACCTTTCCTGACTCTCAGGCTCAGGGGCCTCTCTGCTTGGGGTACCCCATGCTCACCCTCATGCTCTGTTTGACACCTGGGTTCTCCCCAGTGGATGGTGGGGAAAGCTTTACCTTGGGGTAGAGCGTCGCTTTTCATCTCTCCGTCACCACCATTTATCTCTTAGACCCTGGCAAACAGTAGGTGTTCCCTATGAATAACTAAGGCCTTCTTCATTTTTGCTAAATTAATTAATAAATGAATGGAGTTCATTTGTAAGTATCTGTTGTTCAGAACCTGGACTAAAAGTGGAGATTATGTGTTGTTGAAACAGTGCACTTTCAAGGTACACGGTTTTTGTTTGTTGTTATTCAATCGCTAGGTCACGTCCCCAAGAACTGCAGCACGCCAGGCCTCCCTGTCCTTCACTATCTCCTGGAGCATGCTCAAATTCATGTCCATTGAGTCAGTGATGCCATCCAACCATCTCATCCTCTGTCACCCCCTTCTCCTCCTGCTGTCGGTCTTTCTCAGCATCATGGTACATTGTGAGTTAACAGAATTAGTGAGTTGATCATCATGTTTCCCACAGTTTTACTGCATTTTTTCTTTGGGAAAACACAGTCCAAATTTAAGGAATGGTCTTAGACCATCACTCTGATAACTTGTGGACTGCCCTTGAAGCTGCCTACTTATTTAGAATTTACTTCAAGGATGACTGGCTGTCAGCCTGTACATGTTTTGTTATCCATTCATTCACTCATGCTGTTCATTCATCACATACTCACTGTTAAGGGCTTACTATCTACCAGTTGCTATTCTAGGCAACAGGGTGGACAACAGAGTCCTTGAAACCAGAGGTTCATTCGACTGGAGACAGGGAGGTATGACAAGGACCTGAAGCTCGGTGGAGTGGACACTTAATTCTGCTAGAAGAGGCTGAAAGGGGCTCCCAGAGGAAATGGTCCTTGCTCTGTCTTGTTGAGGACCTGCCTTCTCAAGCTGTAGTAGTAGCCACCCTGAATGTCACTCCACCCTGAATGTGGATGCTTAAGGATGGATGTTCAGCTGGTCTAAGGGCAGGTGCACACCTGTCTGCAATGTCTTCACTTAAGAAAGAAGATAGGGCTTCCCTGGTGGCTCAGTGGTGAAGAAACCGCCTGCCAGTCAGGAGACACAGGTTTGACCCCTGATCAGGAAGATCCCACATGCCACGGAGCCCGTGAGCCACGACTATTGAGCCTGTGCTCTAGAGCCCAGGAACTGCCACTACGGAGTCCATGTGCCTAGACTCTGTGCTCCACAACCAGAGAAGCCACTTGCAGACAGTGAGAAGCCCAAGCGCTGAAACTAGAGAGTAGCTCCCGCTCACCGCAACTAGAGAAAGCCTGCACAGCAGTGAAGGCCTAGCCCAGCCAAACAGAAATAAAATTAAAAATAAAAGAAAGAAGATGAAGTCCACTTGGAGTCTGTGTTGTAAACATCTCATGTCTCAGTTGTGTATGATTATGATGGTGCTGGCCTCTGTTCTGCCCCACAGTTAAAACATGAAGTAAGTAAATAAGTGTTTCTGGCTGTGAGTGTTCCCTTGAGGGCCCCTCTGCTCAGACAAAATAGTTTGATGGATAAACTCACATTGCATTTGGCAGACCCTGATTCCTGCTCTGAAACCTCGTCTAAAGGGGAAGTTTTCACTGGGTTCCAGAATGCTGATCACTGGGGGTAGGGATGTGCATTTCTGGACCATCAGCGCCTGTATGACACATGGAAGTGCTCAGCAAGTCGGTTATGTGTTGGCTTTGATGACTCTTGCGTGCCGCTCACAGGAATATGCACCGCCTTGGGGGGATTTCATCTGGAGAGGAGTTCACTGTGAGGAAGGACCCTATGAGGACTGTCAGGTTGAGAAATGTATTGGATTATCTACTGGGTCCTGAGTGCTTGTGAGAAAGGTGATGATCCCCAACTGTCTTGCATGTTTGGACTGAAGCACACAACATGGGCCCTGGAAATCTGGCTTTGCGTCTTCCCTGGGTAGAGTCGTCTATTGCTGCAGACCAAACTCTCCCAGAACTCACAGTGGTGAGAACTAATGACAAAGACTCCCTCCTTGACTGACTTCAGTCACGCGTCTCTGAGACTTCTTGACCCCAGATCTCAGCTGTGACCTACGAGAAAAGCAAAACCTTGGCACAGTGTGGGACAAAACCAGCTCCTCACACTGACACTGGAACAAATACAAGCCTGGTTTATAACAACCGTGCCCTTGGCCTGAGCCCCGGCCCTCCCGAGTTCCTGCCTGGGAAAGCTCAGGTTGCTGAAAGAATTTTCTGTGTGAGGTTTGCCTTCACCCAACACCTAGTACCTTGCCTAACATTTCTCAGAAAACAGCCCATTTCCCTCTTTTTGTAAGTTTCTACTTCTCTGACTCTGCCTAGGCCCTCAATAGTTCCTCCTCTCTCCTTCTTCCCTGAAAACCCCGTCTCCCTGCACGGAGTGGAGCTGAGCTGTTTATCTTGCTCTCCTGCTGCAGCAATTTGCATGAAATCTGACTTGTTGCCTTTAATGAATGTGTGGCTACGTTTCTCTTTGACACTACAGTAAACACTTGTTAACGTAAGCCAGGAGTTTCAGCGGGCCAGGAGTTCAGCAGAGTCTAGCTGGGTGGTTCTGGATTGAGACCTCAAGATACATTAGCTGGGGCTGCACTCGTCTGAAGGTTTGACTGGGGCTGGAGGGTCTTCCCAGGCAGCTCCCCTGGCCTGGCTGAGAGGCTGGCGCTGGTGGGAAGGCTCAAGTTCCACCTCACGGACCCTTGCCACAGGGCTGCTGGAGAACCCTTGAGACGTGACAGCTGACTTCCCCGCTCTCAATGCAGAGAGGAGAGAGATCTGCATGTCTTTTATGATCTAGCCTTGGAAGTCACACACGGTCACTTCCGCAGTGTTTTACCAATTTCACAGGCCAGCCCTATTCACTCTGAGAGGAGGCTCCAAGACTGTGGACCCTGGGTGGCAGGAATCGCTGGAGACCGCTTTGGAGGCTGGCTCCCATGATTCTGCAGATAAGCCATGTCATGACCTTGGGCAGAACAACAAGGGAAGGGCGAGGTTTGAATCTATGACGTCCCTTCCAGCCCTGATTGTGTCTTCTATTAAACAAGAGAGTTACTAAGTGAAGGAAAGAGTTAATGTGCTTACAGCAGCATTTTTCACAGAGTAACTCGTCTGCCAGGGCCTGGCCCAGTTCCTAGAATCGGGCAGCTCGTTTTGTGGGGGAGGGGTTCATAGCAGCTGTCTGGGCTTCCCGTCATTTCTCCTCTCACTTCCGAGGTCAGGGAGGTGGGAGGGGGCAAGAACAGGTGGCTCCTGACTGGGCTGGCTGGGACCAGCCCTGATACAAAGACACCAAGGATCTGGACATGAAAACGCCAGCGGGGGAAATGGGCAGGCTGCCCTTGGAAGGCACTGGTCCTAATTTTGCTCCTTTTAGGAGTTTTGCACCTGATTAATGATTCTGTTCAAGATGGATTAAGCTGCTGGAACCTTTCTCCATTTACCAGTGCCAGCTCTTTCCCTCTTTTAACACTTCTTTTTTTGGGGCTCATCCCAGTCTCCCCCTCCCCCAACTTGGGGGCAAATCATTGGTCCAGGATGAACTGGGTTTTTCCCTGGAAAGGGCAGGGTAGGCTGGATGTCACCCCATGCACCCGCCTGCCAGGTGAGGGGCTGAGGAGCCATCACAAACGAGGGGAGCTCAGGTTCAAAGCCTACCTGGGCCCTGGACTCCCAGATTCTCTTGATTCCTCAGTAAATTTTGTTCTGAACAATTACTGTTGCTTTCAGAGGACAGTCCTGGCTCTATGTTATCTCCCCCAGAAATGAGCAGGAGGCAGACAGGGAGCAGGTCCCCAAACCGGGAAGCTGAGAAGGAGGCACTGCTATTCACCAAGTAAAAAAGAATCCCTGCATCTGACACCCCCACCCCGCACCTCCCACCATCCTTTCTTCCGTGGTCTTCCTCCATTCCTTATACATTCATTCAAAGGATGCTTAAGCCCGGCAGTCATGGCCTCACAATGGACCCCAGCGGCAACGGAGGCCCAGTTCCTTTCCTTTTCCCCTCCTTCCTGCAAGAACACGCTTTTCACACTTGTGGACGACTCATTGGGAGAATCGCTCTTCCTGTAGACAGCTGCCAAGCTGATGGGACCCTGGCTGGCCCCGGCTGGTGAGGGGGCAGAGACAGGGGCTCTGTGCTCAGGCCTCCCTCTCCTCTGCCTGGCCCCTGACCCTCCTGACAGCCCCCCAGCACCTCCCACCCCCACCCCAAGCTGTCCTGTATTCAGCTGGGATCCCAGGGTCTCCCTCCAGAGAACGTGCATCATCGCGGGGCCCAGCTGATCGGGGTGCCAAGTCCTCCCGCGGCCGCGGGGCCCAGCACAATGGTCCTTTGTGCCGGGCTGCCGCGCTCTCCTTCCTGGCCCCGGCCGCCCCCGTGCGCTGTTCTCCTTGTCTTTCTTCAGTGTTTCTTTTCCAGCTGACTTCGTTATTACAGTGCCTGGAAAGGGGGCAGAAAAGACTTGGAGGCTGGCCGGGCACTGGAGTCTGAGGGGATGGCCCTGACGTCACTGGGGGGTCTTTAGCCACACTCCCCCCGAGCAGACCCAGGCTGGCCTCTTTGTTAGGGCTCTGGCCCCTACCAGCCCAGGACACGTCTCAAAAGAGTACCGAGCACAGAGTGGGGTGGGAGTGAGGCAGACGGCTCAGCCGCAGCCCAGGCACGAAATCCAGTAGATAAGACGGACACACTTGAGAAAGGAAACTGGGGCTTCCCTGGTGGTCCAGTGGTTCAGAATTCGCCTTGCAATGCGGGGCACACGGGTGCGATGCCTGATCTGGGAAGATCCCCATGTGCTTCAGAGAAACTAAACCCACGCATCACAGCTGCTGAAGCCCAAGCGCCTACAGCCTGTGCCCCGAGGCAAGAGAAGCCCCCTCCACGAGCCGCCCGCGCAGCGCAATTAGAGACGGGCTCCCGCTCACTGCGACTAGAGACAGTCCACAGCCAAAAAATACGAGTAATAATATAAAGGAAACTGCTCCCGTTAAAGGCAAAGGACTGCTGTTGGAGCAGATGGGAGAACAGAGGCCGGTCAGGCCTGGGGGACGCTGTCTGTGGATGGAGGGAGGTGTCCTCTCTGCCTGAACCAAGGGGCAACCTCGGCGGGAACTCACGACCGTGGGGCCCCTTCCCATCCAGAGTGTTCATGTCCTCCTTCAGTCACCTTTTCAAGGGGTTTAAGCCTCCAAGGGCTATATGACATGGCACTGATATCAGACATCTGCTTTACATTAAAAAAAATTTTTTTTTTAATTAGACCTTTTAAATTTGTAATCAGACAACTGGAGTTTCATTTCTGAGGACCTAGGTCTCACCGGGGAACATATGAAAGTTCGTAAGGAAGAGGAGATTCCCCAGCCACCTTGGGTTTTCCCCTCATTTATGTAAGCCTCAGACAAGTGGGTATTTGCTGAATATGCTGGGCAAGGACTAGGAGTAGAGGACCAGCTTACATGGCAGCTGATGAAATGCAAAGGGGTGGAGGATAGCTAGGGGCAGTTTCCAGGCTGCAACTGTTAATGAAGTCCCATCCGGAGTGTTGGATGTGGTGGAACATGCCTGGAAAGGGGCCCCTGATCCAGGTTTTGGGACAGCCTCTGCTGCGGGGCCTGGGCTGCCAGGCCCTGGTAGGCGCCTGAACCACACTGCATATTAAGTTATTCAAATACCCCTCCAGCAGTCATTAAAATAGCTGCTGCTGCAACCCACACCTTCTCAAAAATCCGTCTGGTCTGGCCCCCTCCAGGCCCCTCCGGGAGCTTCTTCATGTCTGGCAGCTAAAGGGTGAAGTCTGGCAAAGCTGGTGCCCAGGAGCCCGAGTCTGCATTACAGCTAGTATCCACTATCAGGCTCTGCGAGCGTTTCCCCGGCTGTACCCATGACTAGGATACGTGTTGGCAGAGACACTTGGAAGGAGCTTTGCTGTGGCAGTGCTTGAAGGTCTGATTCACTGAGTCTGAGAGTAAGTTCTGGTATATGGGGGGTGGAGGGGGGGAGCAGTGCATGGCATTAAACCCGTTCCTAGACATCGAAATCTGATTTATTAACATTGGCAACGGTTACAGGCCTTCTCGCCAACAAAGTTTGTGAAATTGAAATCGCATGAAACTTTCCTAGTTCTTGCTAGGGCCACATGCGCCCTTTCCCTTTCTAAAGCAGCAAATTCACTTAAAAATAATTAAGAAAAGATTGATGGGATTTTGGAGTTGTGATGAAAAATATGATCTCATTAGTAAGTCATGAGTCAGGGCCAGGCACTCTGTCAGATGTGTGCACTTCTGCATAATTAGAAGAAGCTGATGCAAGGGGGAGCTAATAATGGCCTGAATTAAAAAATTAAAATCGTTTCCCCTTATACTTTTTGACTGTGCTGAAATTCTGCCTTTTGCAAAGATTCAGAAAGAGATCTCTCTCAAAAGAACTCTATCAAATGTAACTGAGTTGGTGAAAGGGAAAATGGTGGTAAAGTAATTGAAAAGACTGAACACAAGGGATCTTTCCATAGAATCTGTTATTAAGGCTCATTTAGGTTACCAGTCCAGTAGGAGACATTTTTTTTTTGAATTTTGAAAGTGCATTTTGAAAAAAGCCACCTAGATTAATAATGTAAAGTCCATATAATCTCTGATTTGAACCATAGAATAAACAAAATGATTGCCCACCAAATTCTGAAAAAGAGACAATGAGCTTAGAGACAAACAGGATGGCCGTTTCCCGTCTGCTACTTCCAGCTGGGTGGTCCTGGACCAACTGAATACGTCTAAGCCTTGATTTACCCATTTGTAAAATGGGACTAAGAAAACCAACCTCTTAGATTTACTGCCAGAATGAAATGAAATAACGTGTACCAGGCAGGCATTCATTAAACTTATTTATCTTTTCCTTTTTGTCCTTAGGAACCTTACTCTGTTGACATTTGAAAGTTAAGAGTTTCTGCTTGCTGGTTGCCAAGGGGCAAACGTTTGTTGAGTGTCTGTGATGTGCCAGACGTAGCGGAGCCGCGCAGCGACGAGGGGGGCAGTCTTGAAGGAGCTCATCCTCTTGTTGTGGGTGGGGGGGGGAGTGGACACCACTTATACACAAAGCAGAATGGGTTAGATGCTGAATTCCAAGTTGCCAAAAGAAACGGGTTGCATGAGGGTGTCCGAGGGACTAGTGCCCAGTGGTATTTACTGCTGTGGGCTTCCCTGGTGGCTCAGCTGGGAGGGAATCTGCCTGCAATGCAGGAGACCTGGGTTCGATTCCTGGGTCGGGAAGATCCCCTGGAGAAGGGATAGGCTACCTACTCCAGCATTACGGCCTGTAGAATCTCATGCACAGAGGAGTCTGGCAGGCTACTGTCCATGGGGGTCACAAACAGTCGGACACAACTGAGCAACTAAGCATGGCACACACACTGCTGGGGCCACAGTCAGATACGGTCAGCCACAGTCAGAAACAGTGGGCCACAGTCAGAAACAGTCGGACATGACTGAGTGACTAAGCACGGCACACGCACTGCTGGGGCCACAGTCAGATACAGTCGGCCACAGTCAGAAACAGTTGGCCACACTCACAGTCAGCCACAGTCAGAAACAGTCAGCCACAGTCAGAAACAGTGGGCCACAGTCAGAAACAGTCGGACATGACTGAGTGACTAAACACGGCACACGCACTGCTGGGGCCACAGTCAGATACAGTCGGCCACAGTCAGAAACAGTTGGCCACAGTCACAGTCAGCCACAGTCAGAAACAGTCAGCCACAGTCAGAAACAGTGGGCCACAGTCAGAAACAGTTGGACATGACTGAGTGACTAAGCACGGCACACAAACTGCTGTGTCCACAGTCAGAGACAGTCAGACATGACTGAGTGACTAAGCATATGCACTGCTGGGGCCACAGTCAGAGACAGTCAGACATGACCAAGTGACTAAGCACGGCACACACACTGCTGGGGCCACAGTCACAAACAGTCAGCCACAGTCAGAAACAGTCGGCCGCAGTCAGAAACAGTCGGCCACAGTCAGAAACTGTCAGACATGACTGAGTGACTAAGCACGGCACACGCACTGCTGGGGCCACAGTCAGAAATAGTCGGCCACAGCCAGAAACAGTCAGACATGACTGAGTGACTAAGCACAGCACACAAACTGCAGTGTCCACCGTCAGAGACAGTCAGACACGACTGAGTGACTAAGCACGGCACACGCACTGCTGGGGCTACAGTCACAAACAGTCAGCCGCAGTCAGAAACAGTCGGCCACAGCCAGAAACAGTCAGACATGACTGAATGACTAAGCACAGCACACACACTGCTGGGGCCACAATCAGAGACAGTCAGACATGACTGAGTGACTAAGCACAGCACACAAACTGCTGTGTCCACCGTCAGAGACAGTCAGACACACTGAGTGACTAAGCACGGCACACGCACTGCTGGGGCCACAGTCACAAACAGTCAGCCACAGTCAGAAATAGTCGGCCGCAGTCAGAAACAGTCGGCCACAGCCAGAAACAGTCAGACGTGACTGAATGACTAAGCACAGCACACAAACTGCTGTGTCCACCGTCAGAGACAGTCAGACATGACCGAGTGACTAAGCACGGCACACACACTGCTGGGGCCACAATCAGAAACAGCAGGCCACAGTCAGAAACAGTCGGATATGACTGAGTGACTAAGCACAGCACACAAACTGCTGTGTCCACTGTCAGAGACAGTCAGACATGACCGAGTGACTAAGCATGGCACACACACTGCTGGGGCCACAATCAGAAACAGCAGGCCACAGTCAGAAACAGTCGGACATGACTGAGTGACTAAGCACGGCACACACACTGCTGGGGCCACCGTCAGAGACAGTCAGACATGACCGAGTGACTAAGCATGGCACACGCACTGCTGGGGCCACAGTCACAAACAGTCAGCCACAGTCAGAAATAGTTGGACATGACTGAGTGACTAAGCACGGCACACACACTGCTGGGGCCACAATCAGAAACAGCAGGCCACAGTCAGAAACAGTCGGACATGACTGAGTGACTAAGCACGGCACACACACTGCTGGGGCCACAGTCACAAACAGTCAGCCACAGTCAGATACAGTCGGCCACAGTCAGAAACAGTCGGCCGCAGTCAGAAACAGTCAGATATGACTGAGTGACTAAGCACGGCACACACACTGCTGGGGCCACAGTCACAAACAGTCAGCCACAGTCAGAAACCGTCGGCCACAGTCAGAAACTGTCGGCCACAGTCAGAAACAGTCGGCTGCAGTCAGAAACAGTCGGACATGACTGAGTGACTAAGCACGGCACACAAACTGCTGTGTCCACAGTCAGATACAGTCGGCCACAGTCAGAAACAGTCGGCCGCATTAAGAAACAGTCAGATATGACTGAGTGACTAAGCATGGAACACACACTGCTGGGGCCACAGTCAGAAACAGTCGGCTGC